TTTTGGAACCTCTTCTGTAGGTGTGGCCTGCTTTCCGGGTCCACTGGTGGAACCTCTTCTAACCGGTTCGGTAGATTTGACGTACCGGTTGTACCTAATAGGTGCGAACTGGTAGGAACCCACCTCTGATTCATAGGTTGTAAGATGTGAAAGTAAATCCAATTGTATTCCATACATCATTTGTGCTATTGGTTTGGCTTGAAATAATGTAATTGTTGCCAGACCAAATTACCCTCCTTGTGTTCTATAAAAATTTAGACTGGCTGCAGCCCTGTTGTTTGCCTTTGAAGCAGCAAAATTAATTCGAACCTTTTATTAGAGTAGCCCCACAGCGAGATAGGCAGCAAATAAATTTAACCCATAAATAAATAATAAAATTCCATATTGTTTGAAAAATAACTTCTATATACTTATACTGATTTACCTCTTTGTTTATATATTTATTAACTTTCATTTGTGCATTCGACTGCTATTGGAAAACTTTGTTTTTTGTTTTTGTATAATTTATAATCAGATGTTTATTTTTATAGATATAGTGTATACTTTTCTATATAATTCCTTACTTGTAATAGCCACTAATGGACCTATAGGGGCAAGAATGGCCATCTTGTCTAACCTCTTTACCTAAAATGAAAAGGAACACGACCTTGGATATATTATGTTATGCTGAAGCTGGTAGAGGATCCTCAGACCCTTTAACTTATGCAATAGATAGAATGCTAATAGCATTTGTAGCATTATGGTACATCCAGCCTCTTTGTTGGCTTGGATTACATGGATATGTGGATTAGAAATACCAAGATTTATATATCATTTCATAGGGCTTTACAGCCCCCTATAGGCAGTTTACAGAGTCAACATATTGCCTCCAACAATCCTCACTTTTAAGACCTTGGAAGGATGGAAGGCTGAATCAAGCTTGAGACAGTCAGGATCGAACTGCTGGCAATGGGCAGAGTTAGCCTGCAATTCTGTATTCTAACCACTGTGCCACCACCGCTCTTGAAATCCAACTGGAGAAAAGGTGGAGAACATACAGCTGTGTGAAAAAATCCTGCACACTTTACAGTTTACGTTTTATGATTTTTTTTTGGATAGGCCATTGATTTTATGATATTTTCTGCTAACTGCTGTGTAAATATTGTTATATTTAAATAAATACTGGTGGGTTTTAAGTATAAGCTTTTTGCAATTTGGATGGGGATTGTGAATTTTCTTGCATGCTTACAATGACTATGAAAACAGATTAACTGATGCATA